TGCCCATGGAGGCGGCGAACCGGTGGGCGTCCTCCTCGGGCTTCTCGGCCAACATAGTGGCCAGGGTCACGAAGTAGGGCACGATCGCGAAAAAGTCTATCGCGTTCATAATATCCTGGTGGTTTTTAGGTGATAACACACACACATTCACAATTTAGGTAGCCACATAATTAGTATATAATCGAAGTAGGTTGATCATGTTGAACATGTTTACGATTTATTAATATGATGATTTGTATATTAAATTAGTATATTTAAGATTATTTTTGTATAAAATGAATTTAATATTATTATGTTTATTATAGTAGATGTATATATTTGATTGCGAATTAATAGCACGCACAAATGCCATTTTTATTTTGATTATTAGTTGAATTGTCCCGGAGTATATTTCAACAAATTCATTGTATAAAGGAAGAGAAAATTTATTAGAAATTATTTAATTTATCGTGATAATAAATATAAAATATATCTAATATTTCAAGTATAATATTAATAACTTATAAAAAAATAAATTAATAGACTGTAAACTAAATTAATAATATTATTAAAGTCTTTATCTATAAATAATTGAAATAATTGTTGGGTCTGTGATTAATTTTGAATTAATTAATTTACATCAATAAATATAGAGTACAAGTAATTTTATACCTTGATTATATTTTATTCCTAAATTTTACTTTCAATTTCTAAACAAATAATAAATCAATTTTTTAAGAAAATATTACAACACATGGAGTCTGTGTTCCGGCTGTCACTGAAATTGCTATCAAAATACTTTGCAGATCCCTATCCCACAAAAAATAGACATCCCTTTTCCAATACTACACATCATTAACAGTCTCTATCCCTTCAATCACTCGTTACTTTCCGTTACACTAAACTGAACACCAATTTAAAGAATATTCTGTGAATTTTAAACTAAATATTTTTAAGAGAGAAAGAGAAAGAGAGAGAGAGAGAGAGAGAGAGAGAGAGAGGAAAGGGGGAAAGTGACCTAGTTTTAATTAAATATCATTTAATTTATGAACAGTTATTGATTGCAACACTAATTAATGCATAAGTGTTGACAACATTAGCCGCCATTTTCAGTACAACTACCGGCTCTTACATACCGGTGCCCATCGAGTCAGTGTCATTTTGGCGTATACATACAAAATCCCGAAAAACAAAACCTGAAATACGAAATCCCAAATTAAAAATCCCGAAACATAAAATCCTGAATAACATAATCCCGAAAAACATAATCCCGATAATAAAATCATTGCTGCCTGTAATGTATAATTATTATATTTTAGTGTACATTACCGTATATGATATGCTTTACTAAAATATAAGGTATACAGTATGTTAACTTATACAATAATGTAATAAATATAATGTTAACAATTGATTATTACTACAATTATTGTGAGTTCTATATAGTATAATGTAATGTACAGCAGTGTATATACAATATAATTATATTACAAATTGAAATATTGAAATATTGGTTAGTGCTAACAATTATAATTGTATAAGGGATTTTTTTAAATTTGAAATAAATACTTTATTTTTATCTCTAAGTATAGCCCCTATGCCTATTACATAAATAAGAGCTACATATACATAATGATATAAATTCTTAGTATAATATTAGTAATAATTATAATAAAATCTAAACAATGTTTTCACAGAATGATATAAAAGAGTTATATTACTTATTACATACTGATTGAACTGCCCCTATTTCATCACACGAATTACACTTAAGGCTCTAATTGCGGATCATAGACTTAACGTGTACAACTAATGTAAAATAGTTAATTTATTCAAAACATTTAAAAATTAAAATTAACTTGATTAAATCAATACTCTCACTCCCAAATTTTAATAAACTGCATTTAAAATATACAATGTACCTTTATCTTAAATATAAAATTACAGTTTACAACAAAATTTTATAATAAATTATAAAATATTTATTTCCAAAAATTAATATAATATTTGAGCAAGCTGTAATTGAGAATATAGGTACTATATTTTAGTTTTATAAACTAATAGTTTTAATTAATTATGGCATAAATATAAGTATTTGTACTTAATATAAATATATTATGTAATTTTATTTTTTATATTTATTATGAAAGTAATAAAATTTTCAAACTACTTACCCACTATCCAGCACATGTTGCATTTCCCTTACCACATCTCCCCTATTGAAATCAACATCAGGGTAATCGGCCGCACCTGGGCCATAATAATCCAGGTCATCCGGGTCCATGCCTAATGGATACATACTCGACACGTTAGTACTGAACAAAACTAACTCCAAGTCTCTGATCGTAACGATTATGTAAGCGGTGAACGGCTTGAGGTACATGTCGTACGAGCTACCGGAGCCCACCACGGCGTACCACTGTTGCCCAGTGGCCTTGGTCAGTTCACGGCTAACCTTTTCGGACATTTCGTGGTAGTACTCCTTGTCCTCGAGCGCCGACACCGTGTATACGATCGCCTGTTCCACCACCGGCTCCGACACATTACGGCATATGATTAGTGAGGATATGGTGGTGAGGGAACGGTAGGACCACACGTCTGTCCCACGTTTGCTGTTCACGCGTTGTTTACCTTAATATGAGTTTTATTTAATGAGTTTATAAATTTAAATAAATTTTTAGTTTAGTTTTACTATTATATAATTTAGCTAGCTACAATTTGTTATATTATAATGTAATAATTCAAGTTGTAATTAAAATTTTATTTTTAATATTTCTAATATTAGTAAATTTTATGGGAATATAAATGGCCATCTAACTTTATTTCACCAATATTAACTTGTTAAATTTATTATATTTTAAACAATATATTACCTGAAAATTTTATAAAAAAAATTATAAACTATTGTATTTTGATTAACTTTAAAGTACAGTTTTAACACGTTGCTATGGTGCTAATAAGTTATCGACCTTGTAACAAAGTATTATTATAATTTGAATATTTAAAAAATAAGTTTTATATATTAAATTATAGGATTACCCAGTTAAATAATCAACGATATTTAATTTATTACATATATTTTTGATATTAAATATTATTTACAGTTTATACTGTGTAAGCAATAAAATACACTATATAAGTAAAAATAATATTTTAAAATAAACTAGATACAAATCATAACTGTATATACCTTTACATTTATCGGCATTTCCCAGACAACACAGCCCCTGTCCACCGCATATACCCCGGGCTATCACGTACTCCCCATCGCAGCAATGACTTTGATTTAGACATTGTCCCCATCGGTGCTTATGATAACACCGGCCCTCGGCTACCAATCCCTCATTGATCGGACAGTCGGTCTGAAAATATGCGACCGAGTAGTAGATGAACGACAGGGTCATCGACACCAGCACTACCACCACAACCGCCATAGCCATCCAATATGGCGTCCAATTAGGGTGGACCGGTAGCATGGATTTTGTCAGTTGTGAGCTTGGTGACTTTGTGGTGGGCACCACGTTAGGTATGACAGTAAGCTGACTGTCCCCCACGGCATGACTGGCCGCCAGCTCCGACTCTTTGTCCACTTTATCGTTGGATATCTTAAATAACATAATATTTGCTGCTTTTTGTGTAGATATTATTTATGAGACTATAATGTAATGTAAAATATTTTTATGAGTTATTGTGACACATATTACAGCAGCGTTTGTGTCAATAGTTTTTGTGTTTTTAATGTGAAATTGTTTTTCTGAGTTACGAATTGAATTAGTTTTGTTTGAGTGAAACACATGTTTTGTATGTAAATACGGATATTTAGTGAACCCACTACTCCCTCTATGTTATTGTACGTATATTTTGGGGTTAAAATTAAAATAATAATAGTAATAAATTGTGTAATATTTTTGTACAAATAAAAAATAATCAATCTATATAAATTGTATATTATTGTATAGGGCAATTAACTTTAGTAAATAATAAAAAACTTTCTATTGTTAAGAATAGTTTATTTTAAATATAAAATATAATATAAAATATTAATTTTTTAATTTTAAATTTATAAAATATAAAATAACAATATAACATTCATAAATAGTTTTTTATTTTAATAATTTTTTCTCAAATTATTATTTAATAACCATGTTACTTTAGAGTACATAAAATGTTGATATATCTGTAAATTATTATATTATATTAAAATAATAGTTCTGTGGTTACAGATCTACCTTGGCGATTTCGCTGACCCCTGTTACCACCACGACCACCCTGTCTACCAGTTCTGCGACCACCATTGCCTCCCTTTCCCCCATTGCCACTATTAACGTGCACGTTCACGTTCTTGCTCACGTCATTGGTCACTTTGGTACAAAATATATTTTATTTAAATAATTAGATTTATAATACTTTGAAGTCGCAAAACATATTAATTGTTACCATATTCAACAATTATCAATACAAATAAACTTATACAAATAGCTTTGTATAACATTTTAATAAGTGATTAACTTTTGAAATACGACTATATTTTAATAGTAAGGATTTTAAAAATATATTGTTAAATTTCAGTAGCTTTACATAGTAATTAATTTTAAAAATATTTATTCACGTGTAAAATTATATAACGCAAAAAATAAATTTCATTACAGACAGCAAATAAATAAAATAATTTAGTTACAATAATAATTTATATATATAATTAATTGTATTGTTTTTAAATTATTTTATTTATTTACTGTCTGTAAATTATATAATTATATATATAAATATAAATTTATATTTCATAGATACATCACTCTGGTTTATATTTTTATATACTTATACAGAGGTGGGATATAAGTATAAATAGATTATACTTATAATCTTTTTGACCTCCCGATTAATTTGGCCTCAAAAACACGCATGCTGCAATACTTTTGTCCGTCACCTTTACAGTAATACTATTGAATTAATAAGTAAATACAGTATGATATTTTAATGACTCCAGGGTCCAGGCCAAGTTTAATTAACACAGATACATTATTTTAATTTTTTTAATGTAATGATTTATTTTTAGTCTGTTTTTTCAACTTGAATTAATTATTTATTAAACTTTATTTTAAATGATTTTCATATTTATCAGATTTTTGATTTTAAAAATTAAATATAATAACTTTAAATTTGAGCTAAGTTATATAAATTTTATTTAAAAAATAAACTAAATTCATATTAAACTAAACTAGTTAATTTTAAAATTATATATTATACACAGTAGATTACTGAATAAATTAATTAAAGTATAAATTATTTATTATATAAAAATAAATTCTCAACAATTTTAACAATTATTTTAAAGTGAATATAATATTTAATCTACCTTGATAGATTTAGCCAAACCCACTACCACCACCACCGCGTCCATTCCTGCTTCCACTCCGACTTCCCTGACCACCATTTCCACCTCCCTTTCCACCACCACCTCTACCTCTTTTACCGCCCATACCTCTGTTACCTCCTTGTCCACCGCCACTCATCCCTCCACCCATTAATACCACTGCCTCCCTGTCCACTATTATCAGTTCCATTGCCACTACTGGCACCACCTCCCTGACCACTACAACCTTTACCTCTCCTTCCATTCTACCCCCACCTCCCTTTCCACTGCCTCCCCTCCCTCTTTAATAAATTGTGTAATATTTTTGTACAAACAAAAAAATAATCAATTTATATAAATTGTATGCTATTGTATAGGGCAATTAACTTTAATAAATTTTAAAAATTTTCTATTGTTAAGAATAGTTTATTTTAAATATAAAATAGAATATAAAATATTAATTTTTTAATTTTAAATTTATAAAATATAAAATACAAATGTACAATATAACATTCATAAATAGTTTAAATGTATTTTAATAACTTTTTCTCCAATTATTATTTAATAGCCTTGTTACTTTACAGTACATAAAATGTTGATATACCGTAAATTATTACATTATATTAAAATAATAGTTCTCTGGTTACAGATCTACCTTGGCGATTTCGTTGACCCCCATTACCACCACGCTTACGACCACCCTGTCCACCAGTTCTGCGACCACCACCAGTGCCTCCCTGTCCACTATTGCCACGTGTATTAACGTTCACGCCCACATTGCTTACTTTGTTACAAAAAATATTTTATTTAAATAATTAGATTTATAATATCTTAAGGTCACAAACAATATTAATTGTTACCATAATCAACAATTATCAATACAAGTAAACTTATACAGATCGCTTTGTATAACATTTTTAAAAGTGATTAACTTTTGAAATACGACTATATTTTAATAGTAGTGCTTTTAAAAAAATTGCTGGATTTTAGTAGTTTTAAATAGTAATTAATTTTAAAATTATTTATTCATATGACTGTGTTTGTAATAATATACTAAGTGTATGTCTCATAATAGACATTGAATTGAATAGAAATGTACTTTGATGAATTGAATATTCATGAGTAATGTAATAATTATTAAACCGTTGTACTTTACAGTTTATAAATACACTAACTTAACATGATATTAAAAAATACTGTACATTCACATGTAATAATATTATATAATAAGAAAAATAAATTTCATGAGAGACAATAAAAATAAAATAAAAAGTTTTGTGGCATTAGTAATATTAAAGTACAGTATACTGTATACGTAATTCTGATATTTAATTTATAATTAAATACAGTATGATATTTTAATTACTCCAGAGTGTAATTAACGCGGGTACATTATTTAATTTTTTTTGATGAAATGATTTATTTTTGCTACACAAATAATTTTCTTACGCTTTTTTACAACTTGAATTAATTATTTAATAAACTTTATTTTAAATGATTTTTACATTTTAACTGTTATATATAAATGTAATTTCATATTTATCAAATTTTTTATTTTAAAAAATTAATGCAACTACATAAGTTTTGAGTTAATTATATAAATCTTATTAAACAAGTAAATATATATATATATATAAAATAAATTCTTATTAAACTAAACTAGGTAATTTTAAAATGATATATTATACACAGTAGATTACCAAATAAATTGATAAAAATTATTATACGTATATTTTGGGGTTAAAATTAAAATAATAATAGTAATAAATTGTGTAATAAATTTGTACAAATAAAAAATAATCAATATATATCAAATGTATAGGGCAATTAACTTTAATAAATAAAAAAACTTCCAATTGTTAAGAATAGTTTATTTTAAATATAAAATCTAATATAAAATATTAATCTTTTAATTGTAAATTTATAAAATATAAAATACAAATGTACAATATAACATTCACAAATAGTTTAAATTTATTTTAATAATTTTTTGTCGAATTATTATTTAATAACCATGTTACTTTACAGTACATAAAATGTTGATATACCTGTAAATTATTACATTATGTTAAAATAATAGTTCTGTGGTTACAGATCTACCTTGGCGATTTCGTTGACCCCTGTTACCACCACGACCACCCTGTCTACCAGTTCTGCGACCACCATTGCCTCCCCGTCCACCATTGCCACTATTAACGTGCACGTTCACGTCCTTGCTCACGTCATTGTTCACTTTGTTACAAAATATATTTTATTTAAATAAATAGATTTATAATACTTTGAAGTCGCAAAACATATTAATTGTTACCATATTCAACAATTATCAGTACAAGTAAACTTATACAGATCGCTTTGTATAACATTTTAATAAGTGATTAATTTTTGAAATACGATTATATTTTAATAGTAGGGATTTTAAAAATATATTGTCAAAAATAGCTTTACATAGTAATTAATTTTAAAAATATTTATTCACATGTAAAATTATATAAAGCGAAAAATAAATTTCATTACAGACAGTAAACATATAAAATAGTTTAGTAAGAATAAATTATATATATGCTTATATAATTATAAATATATAATATATATATTATATCGTAGATACATTACTGTGGTTTATATTTTTATCTACCTATATAGAGGTGGACAAAGTATTGCATCAGGCACGTTTTTGAGAGTGACCAAAAAGATTACTATAATTATTCATAACATAAGGTATCGCCACAAGAAAACGTAATACTATTGAATTAATAAGTAAATACTGTATAATATTTTAATGACTCCAGGGTCCAGACCAAGTTTAATTAACACAGATACATTATTTTAATTTTTAAACGTAATGACTTATTTTTGTCGCACAAATAATTTTTCTTAGTTTTCTCAGCTTCAATTAATTATTTATTTTTATTTTAAATGATTTTTTAAACATTTTTTCTATCATATTAAATGTAATTTCATATTTATCAGATTTTTTATTTTAAAAATTAAATACAATAACTTTAATTTTGAGCTAAGTTATATAAATTTTATTTTAAAAATAAACTAAATTCTTATTAAACTAAACTAGTTAATTTTAAAATTATATATTATACACAGTAGATTACTTAATAGATTAATTAAAGTAAAAAGTATTAATTTTATATAAAAATAAATTCTCAACAATTTTGACAATTATTTTTAAGTGAACATAATATTTCATCTACCTTGATAAATTTAGCCACACCCACCACCACCACCACCACTGCGTCCATTCCTACCCCCACTCCGACTTCCCTGACCACCATTTCCACCTCCCTTTCCACCACCACCTCTACCTCTGTTACCGCCCTTACCTCTATTACCTCCCTGTCCACCGCCATTTCCGCTACTACCACTGCCTCCCTGTCCACTACTATCAGTTCCACTGCCACTACTGTCACCGCCTCCCTGGCCACTACCACCTTTACCTCTCCTTCCATTTTTACCCCCACCTCCCTTTCCACTGCCTCCCCTCCCTCTTTTACCACTACCAGTTCCACTGCCACTTTCCTGATCACTACCGCCGCCTACCTGTCCATTACTACCGTTACCTCCATTTCCACCACTAACAATCCCTCTATTACCATTTCTACCTCCACTACCCTTTCCACTCCCACCTATTCCTCCTTTGCCACGTCTATTACCACCTCCTTTTATACTACCACCGCCTCCCTGTCCACTACTATCGGTAGTCCCCTGTCCATTACTGTCACCACCTCCCAGGCCACTACCACCTCTACCTCTCCTTCCATTGTTACCACTACCTCCCTTTCCACTGCCTCCCTTCCCTCTTTTACCACCTATACCTCTGTTGCCTCCTTGTCCACTACTATCAGTGCTGCCACTACTGTCACCTCCATTTCCACCTCCTTGACCACTACCACCTTTACCTCTCCATCCATTACTGTTACCACTTCCCTTTCCACTACCTCCTTTTCCCCTTTTGCCACCTATACCTCTGTTGCCTCCTTGTCCACTATCACCCATCCCTCCATTTCCACTACTGTTACCATCACCACCACCACCACCCTGTCCACTAATACTTCCACCACCACTTTGTCCACTACTACCATGATTATCATGATTATTGTGGTGGCCATGATCTTCATTATGTCCAGTGTCATTATGGTAATCATGATTTCCATGGTGACTACTTCCATGATCACTATGGTCATTGTGATTTCCAGAATTCCCACTGTTTCCATGGTGACCAGAGTTTCCAGTATGCCCACTATTACCATGGTGACCAGAATTACCGTTATGACCTGTAGTGTGATTGTGACATGAATTGACATTTTGATCACTATTATCATGGTGATCAGAATGGCCATGTTGCCCATTATTATTATCATCGTGACCAGAATTGTCATTATGCCCGCTATTATCATTATGACCATGGTTATCATGGTGATCGTGGTCATCGTGAACTTCATGGTCATCGTGATGACTTGAGCTTGATGTCACTATATAGAAATGCAAAGATATTAATTATTAAATATTTTTAAATAGATAACTTACCATAATTAATAATTATAATTGTAATAAATACATGTATGAATAATTTAAACATTTTAAATTAATGATTTTATTTTATTATAATGATTACATTTGCAAATGTTAAATAAGTATTAAGTAATAAGTGTTTTGTATTAATTTTATGATCAAATGATTTGATTTTAAAACAAAAGTGCACAAAGAATACTTATTAGGCTGTTCAATGAAAACTATTGTAATCATTTAAATAATAATAGTAACTCTATATTTAAAGCATATTTGAAATATAATTTTAAAAAATAGTTTTATTATTATTATTAATTTGTTTTTTTAATTAAAATAATGTAAGTAATTTTAGTTAATAGAAAATATTAATAACAATAAAATTATATAAATTATATAAAACTACATAATTTTGTAGGTCATGATAATAATATCCTAATAAGTACCGCATAACCAGTATATTTATTCACCGGGTGTCTATTTGAAAAAATTATGTAATTAATGTTTTTGTTTCAAAATGCACTGTACTTTATTGCACTTTAATATAATTTAATACAAAACTAATACAGTATTTAAAAATAATATAATAGTACATCTAAATTCCTTTAATATTGATACTAGTATAATATTTTTCAGGTAACATAAATATAAAGTATAAATATATATTAAATACCATGCTAATTATATTGATTTGACACGTCGTCTTGGTGTGGTTTTAGTTCTATTGCTACTTCGCCATCCACGGGGCACACCTACCCGTAAAACCATATCAGTACCCTGTTGTCCACCTCCCTGTCCACTATTATCGGATTCGTAATAATAAGTGTTCGAGCTCACTATTTAAATTGTTAGTTACTTTAATTAGTTACTATTTATAATATATAATAAATGCTAGTATTATCAACTTACCGCGCTCGTTAATTATCATAATAAGTAAACTAATAAATATTATTTTAAAAATCATTTTAGAAACTTTAAATATTTTATAATATTGTCAGATATTATATAACATATAATAGTTTTTAATAATCACATTGGATAAATGTCCTAAAATAGTATAGATAGTAATAAAAATTGTGAAACACATCGATGTATATTCAACTGTAAAATATGATAATTAAAGTTAATTATCTTGTGACTAGAAATTTAAATTATTAATTAAAATGCGAATAATTAGAGTAATTATTCATTTATTACAACATTTGTTAATTAATTTTAGAAACAATTATGTCAATTGCATAATTGATATGACATATACTTTAAACAATTAATTAATTTGAAATTTGCGAAAGTATCAGACAGGCACATTAATTTTTATTTATTATTAGTTTCAAAGTAAATAAACTTGATACTAACTTGTAAGTACAAATACAGTATTATGATGTAGAAAATATTTAATTAAAAACTACTTCCATATGATAAAATATTAATTGTTTTATTGGGGCAATTATTAGCGATTCTGACAATACTATACCATATTATATATTATATTGTAAAATTAATATATAATTAAAACTTTTATTACAAAATTTGTATTTTCTATTCAATTATTTGCTTGACCACAATTATTCCCACTACGTTGCATACTTTCAATTTGTCCAGCTGACTTTTGTCAACCACTTCCTCGACTACCACCCCTTTGTCTGCTGCACCACCAACTTGCTTATCACCACCAATTTTGCATCGACCATTTCTTTGTCAACTTTGCTACCACCTTGGCTCCCTTTAATTAGTCTGTTGTCACCACTCTGTTTAACTGAGTTATGTTTGCCACCTTTCTGTCAACCACTTCGTTGTTTACTACCACCACCTTGTTTGCCACCTCCTCTTTGTCTGCTACTACCACCTTGTTTACCACCACCTTGTCTGCCACCTCCTTGTCTACCACCACCAACTTGTTTGCCTCGACCACCTTGTCTGCTACTACCACCTTGTCTACCACCTCCTCCTTGTCTGCTACTACCAACTTGTTTGCCTCGACCACTTTGTCTACCACTACCTTGTCTGCCACCGCCACCTTGTTTACCACCTCCTTGTCTAGCAGCACTTCCTTGTCTGCCACCTCCTTGTTTACTACCACCTCCTTGTTTACTACCACCACCTTGTCTGCCACCTCCTCTTTGGCTGCTACTACCACCTTGTTTACCACCACCTTGTCTGCCACCTCCTTGTCTACCACCACCAACTTGTTTGCCTCGACCACCTTGTCTGCTACTACCACCTTGTCTACCACCTCCTTGTCTACCACCTCCTCCTTGTCTGCTACTACCAACTTGTTTGCCTCGACCACTTTGTCTACCACTACCTTGTCTGCCACCGCCACCTTGTTTACCACCTCCTTGTCTAGCAGCACTTCCTTGTC